TGTGGCACCTTTAAGACTAACAGAAGTCTTAAAGGTGCCACAGGACCCTCTGTTGCTTTTTACAGATTCAGACTAACACAGCTACCCCTCTGATACTTAAGGTTGCACTGGAACCCTTAACTCTTGCATTTTCTGTCCTTCAGTCAGTGCAACATTAATTTTACATAAATGCAGAAGGAATTAATCTTTCTTTAAAGATAAGAGGAAACCCACAGGCATGCACTTTAGGAGGCAGAACTATGTTTCCTTTAAGTTTCACACTGATACCTCTATGAAGCACATACTCCTTTAACTGCATTAATACATATGCACATCAGACATCAACATGTGTGTACTTAATAGACACTGGTGCCATATTTACAAAAACCACTGCAGCACAGTCAGATTAAGGTTTCCCAGGGCCCTGGGCCGGAGTCAGTGGGGGGGCCAGCCCTTCCGCCTGTGGCCTGCCCCCATTCTTGCCCCTTTTCTCTGGCAATGCCCACTGCCCCACCCCTTTCTGTCCCTGTTCCACCCAGGGCCCCCTCCAATTCTGCCGCCCCACAATCCATTTGCTCCTTTCTGCACCCCTCCACAGCAGCCCCAAGACTGGAGATGACCTGTCTCCGCGCCACGGCCCCGGGGCCATAGTGAGAAGTGAGAGCTTCTCCAGTCCTAGGGCTGGAGTTGGGGTCTGGGTGCTGCACTTCTGCAGGGGACCAGGGTCGGAGCACTGGGGCTTCTCCCGGCACTTCTGCCGGAGAGCGAGGTAAGGCACGGGCTTCCCCTGCTGTCCCGCGGTTTCTCATGGGGATGCGGTCGGGAGCACAGGGGGAGGCTTCCCCCATCCTGCAGCTTCTGTCAAGGATGGGGTCGGTGCCACCACTGGGGGGGCTTCCCCCGTCCTGCGGCTTTTGCCGGGAACGGGGTGTGTGTGGGCTTCCTCCATCCCACCGTCTGGGCGGAAACTGTGGGCCCCCCAGTTGGCCAGAGCTCCATGGGCCCCGCAGTGGCTAATCTACCACTGCACCCCAGGACTTCTAAGAAATCAGCCAGAAGGCAATTTGCCAACCTAGGCCCCAATCCAGCAAAGTGTTAAGTATGTGCCTAATCTTAAGCATGTGAATAGGCTCATTGATTTCAATAGGACTGTTTAAGTGTTTTAAATAAAGCACATACTTAAGTGCTTTGCTGTAGGAATTTAGTCTCCATTAGGGCAACTGAGGCAGGGATTACCCCTAAGGTTGCCACCTTTCTAACCAGACCCTCGAGGTCCCACCCCTGCTCCACCTCTTCCCACCAAGGCCCCACCCCACCACTTGCTCCTCCTTCTTCCTCACCCTGTTGCTCACTGGATCATCTCCACCTCCCTTCCCTCCCGCTCCCACCTCCCCAGCTGGGCTCCCTATGCTCTGGGGCTGAGATGGGAGCTGCTGCAGCCTGACAAGGAGCTTGCCTGCAGGTAGCCCCAGCTGAGCTGGCACCTCCGCATGCCCCCTGGTAACCGGACTTTTAGTGTCCAGTCAGTACATTTGACCAGACACTGCCGGGTCCCCTTTTCGACCAGACTTTCCAGTTGAAAACCAGGCACCTGGCAACTCTAGATGGCACCCAGACACAGAAGCCAAAAACCGGACAGTCTGTTTAAAACCCAGATGGGTGGCAATCCTAATTGCCCCTGGAACTCCACCCGCCACCGTGTAAATGTCTGAGGCAACTGGATTTAATGTGTGAGAGAATAAAGGGACTGGGTGGAGGCAAGAGGATCTGCCTGCTTGGGTTCAGAACTGTGCTCATTGTTGTTTCATTCATAAAGCGAGAAAATAAATGCAGTTTAAGCTGAACAAGTGGAATTCATTCAATGTTGTGTGCAGTTCATGTAGCTGAGTTGCTTTCACCCAAATGCCCCAGCATTCCATTTCACTGGTGTCCTGTTAATAACTGTCACTCCAGGGAACACTGGCCTTCTGACTCCAGTTCCACTGTTCATGATAGGTCAGTAAGTAGGAAATAACATATTGCAAGCCAGACATTACTTTCAGATAAAGGCCCTGATCCTCCAAGGAGTCCTCTATGAGTGGACCTTGCACCCTCATGGAGACCTGCTGAAGTCAGTGAAGCTCTGCAGGGGTCCACCTGAACAGAGCTCCTTGCACAAGTGGATCTAAGTTTTCTACTGCATTTTTGGTCCTGCATTGATAACTTCAGGCCAGATCATCTTCTCCAATGGAATAACCTGGGGGGAGAGGAGGAGCAATAGAATTCTGTAGGGCTCCTTGTGGAGTTTTCTGCTAAGCATTCCCTGAAGGAGGAGAGGTCTGAGGAGGGCATCTGAGTTTCCAGGAGTCAAAGCTTCCCAGCCACGGGGAATCCTGACAATCCATGCAGAAGAAACCCACTCCCAGATCCCCCGAGCAGATCCTGATGGCAGAGACAGCTCTCGTCTTTGTGCGGCTCTGCTGTTCAGCTCCAGCACAGCCATTGGCTGAGCCCCCTTAGGCTGCTTAGGTGCAGAGACAGCTTTTATAAATGTAAAATAGATTCCAAGAAAGCTTTTAAAGCACTATTACCTCCCTGCTGGATTTTCTTGCAGAAATGTAGGAACTGAGCAGGGAATGGTATTGTGAATACAGCCAGTCCCTTGCTCCACCACTTGCTGCCCTAACTCTGCCCCCCAATCAACTCTCCTGCCCCCCTGGAGCTCCTTCCCTATGGAGGCACAGCAGAGGCCCTTCCATGGAGTCCTCAGAAGGGGAGGGGTAGTAAGGGAGAACAGGCCCTTAGAAACAGCACAATCCCCTTCCAGACAAGGAGAGATTGACCACAAAAGGTCCCCTACTTGTGCATACATTGTCACCTGTGGGTGATCACTATAACAGTACAAGTTGTTGCCCCAGGGGATCTTTCATATTGCCTTTTCCCTAGGAGTGCCTAATAATTTTACAAATAATCACTTTGTATTTATGTTAGTCTCAATAGGCCCCAGCTGAGTCTGTAGGCACTGTACATACACATAATAAGAGACAAGCTCTGGCCCAAAGAGATTACCATCTAGACAAGAGGTGAAATACAGGCAGACAGATGTGAAGTGACTTGTCTGCGTGAGAGCAAGTCAGTGTTGGAGATGGGAATAGAACACGCTTCTTGACTTTCAGGATCCTTGATCATTAGATCATGCAGCTTCCTAGGAGGAAAAAAAAAAGGCTAATGTGTGCCTAATTACATGACATGAGTCAGCTTTTCAAATTGGCTTTTATAGTTTAACACCACAAAAGCCATAATGTAAACACATCTCAAGTCAGAACAGATCCCATAGGCCCCAACTGAGAGTTACAGGCAAACCATATTTTCCAAACAACTTTCTAAAAAGGGATATTATAATAATAAAGTATTTGAATGTGAATTAGTAATGTCCAAAACCAAATAGAAAAGACGAGTGTTTGTCCACCAGTGAGAGAGGAGGGTGAAGAAAGCATCTACTGTAGGCTAGAGATATTACAGTTATATACAGTAGTGCACAGCCCACGACATCTCAGTTACTTAGAAATTCACACACCACAGTTCATCTGCAACAAAAAGACATTTAAATATAATTTCCAAAGCTGTCTTCATACCTAACTTGTTTCCCACCAGCACTTACATTGCTCTCTTCCACTTTAATTAACAGGAATCACAAGATTCATATAAACGTCTCTCAGAAATTTTTAAAAAGCGTAAAAGAATCCCAAACACACCACTCTTGTATGTAAACTGAATATTGCATCCTTGTGCTAAGGCATGGGAACCCCAAAGTGAAACTGATTAGAAACTAATAAGTAAATGAAAGTGACTAGTCCAAATTCATTGTCCACACTGAGAAAAATGCAAAAACTAAATAAGCAGTTATAGAATAAAAAGTAAATTAGATTTTTAAAATTTCAGTTTTAATAATTATTGTTTGTAACATGCATAAGGAAATATTTAAAAAGCTACTGGGTGATAACCTGGTTCCATTGAAGTCAATAGCACAGCATATTGACTTCAATGGGAGCAAGAATTTTACCCATTATTTTTATCTTGGTCATGGTGTTGTAAATGTCCCAGAATCCCACATTGACGCCTCTCCAGCCCTGCTTTGGATCCATCATCCCTGTTGTCTACTTTGATTTCCTCCAGTAAACACAGCTGAGTTTTTATCCCCAAAATATTCAGATGTTTACGTTTCCCAACTTTGTTTCCTGATGCATTTATAAACATGGGTACTACATCCCCTAGAAAACTGGGAACTAAGACAAAATGGATGGGATTATTTGGTGTTTAAAGCTTTAAAAAGAGTAAAAAATAGAGCTGATTAGGAAAAAATAGTTTTTTTAAATGGAAAACACTTTTGTGAAGCAATGGCCCTCTGTTTAACCAGCTCTAAAAATGTGTACATTATGGAGGACTTGATCCTGCAAATTGCTGGGAATCCCTGTGAGATGATGAGCGCCTTCCACTCTGTTAATGTTCATAAGAGTAAAGGATCTCAGCACTTTGCAGAAGAAAGTCCTGAGGTCTCAGTCCTGCACTGGGATCTGCCAGTGCAGACCTCTGCACCAGTTTGGAGTCCTGTCTGGTGTCATAGATCCCTGTGCACAAGTGGAGTTTCACTGACTACTGAAGAAGATCCTGATGCAAGATTGGAGCTAATCATGGTGCAAGGTAATTTACATCTCATGAAGTCAGTTTTCAGTGACAATTTCTTCCTCCCACAACACTAGAAGATTTAAGTGGCAATCAATGCCGTGTGTCAGCATAGGAATGATGTGCTATAAAAAGTTAATAGAAATGAAGATTTTAGCCGTGTGTGTGAGAGGTCTTTATCAGGGTATGTAACGTTGCATGTAACTCTCTTAGAGATGCTTATCTTTGAACTGCTGTTAAAGGTTAGTATCTTTTTTTTAATTTATATGTGCACAGCACATTTTGTACCTGTTGAAGAAAATGTACATTTCTCTCCCTCTCTCTTTCCATCCCTCTCTCCAATTTTTTTTTAATAGTCCTTTATGGACAAAGTTGGTATATTTCAACTACATTCTAAGCCTGTTGTCTGTATATACATAGCTATTTTCTAGTACAGTGTTTCTAAACAGTCCTTACATGCCTATTTGTATATAGTGAGCCTAATACTGATAAAAACCTGCATACAAATGCTGTGAGGAGTGGGGTTTGATTTTCTTGCTTTTTGTTTGGTTGAGATTTTGGGGTGGGTTTTTTTGTGGGAGTGGGGTGGTTGGGTGTTTTTTATTTGTTTTGTTTTGGGTGTTTTTGGTAAAGAGAAATCTTTACCACACAATTAGGGTTATAGTTTCTATTGGAAGATGACTCCAGCTATTTGAAGTCTCTTACCAGCTTATGGGTAATGTCCTCTTGTGTTGTGGCAAAAGGCTGAGGAAATAAATAATTTTTAAAAAGAGAAGTGGAAATCTTGTGCAGGAATGAGGCCTGATGCTATATCCTTCCATTGAAGACTATGGAAACTTAGGGCAGGTCTTCACTACGGGGGGAGAGGGGGTTCGATTTAAGATATGCAAATTCAGCTATGCGAATAGCGTAGCTGAATTCGACCTATTGGAGCCGACTTACCCCGCTGTGAGGACGGCGGCAAAATCGACCTCCGCGGCTCCCCGTCGACGGCGCTTACTCCCACCTCCGCTGGTGGAGTAAGAGCGTCGATTCGGGGATTGATTGTCGCGTCCCAACGAGACACGATAATTCGATCACCAAGAGATCAATTTCTACCCGCCGATTCAGGCGGGTAGTGTAGACCTAGCCTCAGGGTATGCAGGAAAATCAAGTTTGGGTTCCTTGTTACTGAGTTAAATATTGCCTAAAAGTCCTGCTAAATCTAGAGAGCTGGATTGTCTCTCTTGTGCTACCTGTTGGTGGAGCTGGTGGAAATGTTATGCATTATATGCAAATGATGGCAGGTTCATGTCCTGCTTAATCTGTCACAGAAGTGGTGAAAATCCTCTCTAAGGAAAACCCTCAGGCAAAGCCAAGAATTTCCCAGTGTTTGTATCCTACAGCTTCCTGGAAAGCCTTACCTTGATGGACAGGGGAGTGCCAGTACTGGGGGGCTCCCCCTTTGGGGAGATCCAGAGCAACATGTGAGCTGGCTGTTGTGGTTTAGTGTGGAATTGTTTCACTTTTTGGGTGTCCCACTTGGGCTATTATTTTAAGTACATTTATCATATTAACATGTGGGGCCCTCTCCAGCGTTCCTGATGTACTCAGCACTTCTAGTGAAGTCATCCCAGCATGGCTGCACATGGCAACACACCGCTGAGAGTTACTCCTGTAGTGGGTGGGGGTGCTGGTCCTCCCAACATTAACTTCCATGGCTCTTTGGTATGGAATTGTCTTGTGAGCCCCAATGGTGCAGGCCATGTAGGGTAGATGCTAACATATCGGCTCTTAATTTCTGAGCCCTAGCCCTGCAGAGGGCTTAAGGAGGCTCATGGCAGGAAGAAGCATGTGACAGACCTATGCTCTGTAACTCATGCAACCCCCACCCAATTTGCGTCTGCTTTTGCCCTGTCTGCCAGTGCAAGTGGATGTGAGCATCAGGCCAGGAAGAGTTCTGCCACCCAAACTCCTGATGAGTAGTATCTTCCTCCCTTGGGCCTGCTTGTGAAGTAAATGAGTAAGGTTGGCAGGATCTGGCCCTATAGGAGATGGGTTATATATTTAAGCATTGAACACAATCTAATATTCAGTAGTTCAATAGCTATTTTGTTATTGCGGGAGAACGAAAACCAGAGATTGGCTCCAGGCTACTGAAAAGCAGTGGTACTGATCATTGCAGCAGGTCATAGTATTGAGTCCCGCTGTCTGCAAATCTGGCTTTATTGGCAAAAAATTAGAGGTTAGTGTATATCCTGTCAGCACCACACCAGGAGATTATTCTTTGTCACTGTGTGGCGTAACAAGCCCTGCAAGAGCTTCTTGCGTAACCGTTTTATGTACAAGTTCAACCTGCTCTGGGTAGGATTAATTTAGGCAGTTGACTCTTGCCAGCTTTTTTCTTCCCTACCTGTACTTTGTCCCCAGTGAAAGCTGACTAACTCTACAGGGATTTCCTATCCCTCTGGAAAGCAAGCATTGCTGTGCTGGAAGAAGGCCTTGTTAAGGACATTATTCTGAGCATTTTAATAAGGATTTTATGTACTAGCCCTTCTTAAAAATGCCCAGTAGGCTTCTTTCAAGTAAACAAATAGAAATCTGTAGCAATATATAGCCATCCCTTTTTTTAAATTGGCTAGTCCCTTAGGGCCAGATTCCAAGTGCTCAGTGCCCAGCAACTCCCATTGTGGCCTTTTTATGGCCAGATTCTTAGGTGCTCAGCACCCAATGCATTGAGCTCTTTGGAAAATCTGGCCACTTGGTGTCCAAATGGAAGCTGAGCTCTTTCGAAATCTGCCCCTTCCTGGACAGCAGGAGGTCCTGTACTACCATGATGCAAATACTAATGTGGAATTTCAAAATGCAGAGGGCACCACTGCCATGATTATAGTCTTTATGTGTGATGATTAAACAAACCTTAACAAGTATATTCCATTCCCCATTTATGCTGTTTACTTTCTAGTTTCATAGTGAAACTAGATCGGTCAGTTTCACCGGTATTATTTATAAAGAGCTTTACTTTTTCTGCTTCTACTGACTTAGCACAGTGCCACACGCTGTTCTTTGAACTTCCAGTACATCAGAGGAATATTTAAATCTCTATCTCTTGGCCTCCCTCCCCACATGCCACCAGAACCACCATCATGGTGTTTCTTTATACTGGGAAGAGGTGGGACCTAGAAATTGTGTTGGACCAGATCTACTATTGGGTGCAGGGTTACTATTTTCATCATGCCACCTGCAGGTGCTGGCTATAGAACGTTCATGTTTCTCTGAAGGTGTAGTGCCAGGTTCCTATGCCACCCTCCTCCCTTCTGCCAGCACAGGGGGCGTGGCCAGGAAGCACCTATGCAGTACTAGTTCCTAGCTCTGACTCTCCTTAAAAGAGGGCTAGTAAGGTTGCCAATGGTCCTGTATTATAAGGGACATCCCTTATTTAAGTAAAATATTATCTGTCCCATAATAAATCAGTAGAGGACACCTTTCATCCCATATTTCAACCAGGGTAGTATCTCTGCTTGGCAACTTGACCTGGTGCACAGGGTTGCACTGCCACTCAGTTTTGGCCCAGCCACCCTTCCATCATGCCTAAGTGGCCCCTGAACCTCTGGGTTTCTCCCATATTTTTGAATTACAGTGCTGGCAACCCTAGGGGCTAGCCACAGGGGCAGATGTAGCCTCCTGATGCTAAAGGATCAGAGGATGGGGGGTGTCAGAGCGCCCAGGCCTGTGAGGTCGTTGCCATCCCCTTGCAGCAAAGTTTGTTAAATAAGAACTGTAGTCACTTAAAAGTTGTGTTCACTTAATTTTGCTCCCTCCTGGCAGCATACCCCTCTCCGCCAATAATCTCTTAAAATGAGAGAGAGAGAGAGAGAGAGAGAGAACGTGTGCATGTGTGTGTGAATTAAGCAGGTAACTGCGCTGTGAGGATGTTAAGTGTAAAAATACTTTGTAATGGAATAATTGTTTGAAACTTTACATTCTCAAAAGTCAGGAAGCTCACATTTGTTTCCCACAGCCACCATAAATTGTCCCTTTGTGCGTACGTATCACTTTCTATTACTGTTCCCAACAATCATTTTTCTGTTTTAAAGGTATCCTTCAAAGAGCTGGCGATAGTATTTAGTTTAGTTGTGTAATCCTATCATTACAGGTTGACCCATCATATACATTATTCTGAATTTACTTTTTTAAAAGCATGTCATGCAATTAAAAAGCAAATTGCCACTTATGTGAGCTTCTGTGGGAACGTGAGATAAATGCCCTGAAATCAGCAAGAATATAATATACCTTAATGTGCATGCACAGTATGTTAATTCCACTGGCTAAATTCCAGAGCATCTTTCATATGTGCCCCACCAGCAGTAAATAAATGATTCAGTGGTCCCAGTAACTGTATTCCCCTCATCTGCTACAAGACCTTTAAAAGTTGTGTCTGGTCTAAAACCTTGAACAGCCCGCGGTTTTAACCTTGTTGTCAGCATATGGGTAATGTCCTGTTTCTCCTGTGACTTTCCCTGTGTTTATAACAGAAACTACTGACACAGATGCAGCACAAGGAATTCCTCACTGAGAACTAGGACTGCCAAGTCTGAACTATAAATAGGCTTGGAAAAATCAGACTTTTATCAGTAAATGTCTATTTCTCTATTTACATCCACAAACCTAGGAAAGACTATTTCCATTGATGACTGAAACTTACAGATAGGCAACGTAAGAAAAATGCTCCTTGAGAACTTTAGAGTTTGATTAAGGATATTTACTTCGTATATTCTGACAATTTGTGTTTTAACAGTTAGGTCTGGAATCTGAACATCATTAAATAATTATTGGGTGACATCCCCCCCATAATCTCTCTCAACTGTGAAAACCTAGTGATAAAAATTGGAAAAAATGCTTAAAAATAAACATTTGATGTTATATGTTGACATGATAAAGAAATAAAACTCCGATTCTGCCAAGCCTCACTGTAAAGTAATATCAGAGCACCAAGAGCCCAGCTTTTGGAGGTGCTAGGTACTCCACTCTCATTGGCACCCTTGGGAGCCCAGCACCTCACTATATTAGGTCCTCTCTTTGGACCGCACCATTGGAGGAGGTTTGAGTTTAGAGGAAATTCCTGGTAGCAGTAGCTGCTTCTTTTCAGTGCCTCACACAGCTCAGCCCCTCTCACTTCTTGGTCACGCTGCAGCCAGTTTCTGCAGGTGCCTGTTTCTGCCTAAGCCTGGATTGAGGCATAATTTGCTGCTTTCTGTACCCAGCCCAGTGAGGCATTGCTGCGGATGGAGTTGCCCTAGCCTCAGTGGTTAAAGTATGCCGAAACAGGAGAGGGAGCTCTCACCATGCCAACCAAACAGGAGAGGGATGTGTGCAGAAGCACTGCTTACCTCAGCCAGGGAGAGAGAAGAAGCTGCCCCCCCCTCTGAGCAAAGGAGCGGGGTCTATGCTTCCCCTGAACCTCTGCATAACCTCCTGGGGATGAAGGAGTGAATGTGCTTGCACCATGACACTGGAAGATGGGAATTGCAAGCATGTGTAAATATTGGGGTGGGGTTGGGATGAGTCTTCCTAGCCAACACCGCCTGGGTTTTTTAAGAAACACCCAAACTTATTTTTAAGTCTGTCCACACTAAGGATGAAAACCACTTATGAATTCTGTTCTTCCCAAACCACACTGATGGGCAATTCTTGACGATAATTTTGGCTAACATGGCTGTATATTACAAAGCCCTGAAAACCACTGGAGCATCAAACTGTGCTAACTACAACTATATTTAAAAATACTTGCCACACACTATTCTGCTTAATATGACAGACCCTTACTTGAGAACCAGTTTAGCTAGCATGGTTTGGAGGCGTGGTGCCAATGTGGACAGAGATGTGGTTACCTCCTGCATCTCATCTATAATCAGAAGACTGACTTCACACACATCCTGAGAGAGCTATAAAAATAGAGATTCTCCCCATCACACTTTTTATATGATCTTGCACCTCCACCTAATCTGAACGTGTACTCTCCTTACCCCTCGCCCAAGCTGTCCTCTTCTCTTGCAGTTCTTGTGTTGTTCTTCCTGCTGCTCGGCTCCATGTGCTGACAGCTGTGAGAGGAAATTAATAAGAATCTTGATCTGTGAGCACTCTGCCATGGCACTTGAGAGGTCAGGATTCTTGTAAATTTCTCTTTACAGCTGTCAGCACATGGAGCAAAGTGCAGTCTAGTGGCAGAGAGAGTAACTTCCCTGGCGGCAGCTATAGTATCTGGAATAAAATGTGAATAATCATATGAATAACAAATGGAGTTTACTAGCGAAGCATGACTCCACTGAAAGAAATACCTGGACCTGAAACATTATTTGGACTTTTTTTTTTTTAATATGAACAATGCTAGCTCAGTTGTCTCTGGCTTATCTGGTTGATGGTAGGATACACCTCTCCTGGGACAATACCCATTTAATTAAATGGCACAGCTTCTGATAGTCAACATGAGTAAGGTAGTGCCTTATTCCACAAGAAGTCCTAAAATCAATGGGACTATTTAAGTAAGAAGCTGTGAACTGTGAGTAAGCATATAAGAATCTGGCCCAAAGTTAGGCAATTCACCTCCCAATCCGGTCATTGGTTAATAAGTATTCACTTACAGCCTAATCCTGCCATCTTTACTCTCACATATGCACGTTGGGTGGGATTTTCAAAGTGCCTAAGTGACATTGGTGCACAAGTCCCATTGAAAGTAAATGGGATTAGTGCTCCTATGTTCATAGTAAGTTACTACTCAGCATAAGTAAGGTTGGAAGGATCTGGCCCTTAATCAGGAACTTCAGCAACTGATGAGGGACCACTGTCCCACAAGCACCTATCCCGTCCTTAAAAGTAGTTTTGGAGAGCTTTTGAGTTTCTTAATGCTGACATGTTACCTACATCCATTTCTATTGCCACCGGGCTGAGTATGTGTCTGATTCCTTTCTGTCCCACTTTAATTTTGCATCTCTCCAAGCTGGTCCAATTTGCCTCGGGGTCCTGTTTGTATAAATTGATTTACAATAATCAGGGTAACCCAACATAATGGTGTATATATAAAATTCCCTTTTATAAACATTAAAGGAACAGAACTAATGTGGCCAAAAATGGATAAATCAAAAGCAGCTGAATAACATATAAACTGTAACCCTAGCTTCCTAGGACAGAGGGTCTCAAATTGCGGTGCATGTAGCCCGCCTGGTGCCTAGGCCGCAGTCAGAGTAGCGAGGCTGATTTACTGGGGCGGGGGAGGGGAAAATCTTTGATAATTGGCTCCATAAATCAAAACATGCCCAGTCATGCAGAAAGAGCAGGCCCGTGAGGGGCTCCACATACTGAATTAAAGATAGGTTGGTATAGAGTCAATAGGAGGAGAGCTGGGGAAACTCGCCAACAGGAACAGAGAATTAATCCTCCATGATCATAAGTGGCTGCATGGAATCATGGCGCAATATAGACAAAGCTGCCTTTGAAACATTGTTGTAATTGTAGGAGTTGGCGGTGGGCAGGGGGGAGACAACATTGACTTTGGTCTTTCCCCTCCCCACAAAAGTTTGGCTGGCTGAAGGAGAGGGCTAGGCCAGTGGCTCTCAACCCTTGGCTCTCTTGCAGCCCAATCAGCATCCAGCTGCGGCCCATGTGACATCCTCGGGGCCATACAGGTAGTATATATATTGTGTGGATGCGGTCCACATAACACATACCATTGTGCCCACAATGGTAAATAGGTTGAGAACCACTTGGCTAGGCAAAGAGAGCAGTCGGAGGCTGCTTTGGGCAGCAGCAGCCTCAAAACTCACCTCCTTGGTGCTGCTGATCAGCAGTTGAGCTGAGTAGTTAGGTAGAAAGGAGGCATCTGCAGTGCAGTTTCCTGTCTCTAGGGAATGCCCTGGCCAGCAGCTGGGCAGGCAGGAGGCTGTACCTGGGTCTTCTTTCTGGAACTGGCAGGGGATAGGTATGTGGAGGTCTAGTTGCTGGCCTCCAGTAGCTGATCCTCCTGGGAGGGGAGGCAATCTGGGAGACAGAGGGAAGACAGCAGGACCTTGAATGTGGTGGGGGCTCCTCTTTGCTAGGTTGTTCCAGACCCGGGGGCGGCAGGAATTCACACCAGAATCAGGTCAGTGCACAGAGCTATTCAGTGCACTCACTGGAAAGAGAGTTAATGGGAGTAAAACACAATCTCAGGATGGTGAAAAGGAACTGTAGCTCCATTGCTGACAAGGTCTCAACTGCCCCTTCAGCCTCTATCCCTCAACTCTAGCTTCTGCCACCTCCTTCCCTTTGGGTGGTGGCCAGTCCTTACATGTGGTGAAAGCTGATAGTGACCACACCTTCACACCGCTCCCTGGGCCTATCTCCCTCCCCTGAATATTATTTCCACTGAGGCCTGCTGTGTCTCAGCAACTGCAGCCTGCACCTAGGGTTGCCAACTCTCACTGAAGCTATTCCGGGAGATTCCCCCCCCCCAACATGATGTAATGTCATTTTCTTAAAATATCCTGTTAAAATTTCCCAGATTGCTTTCAATAGTCACTGGAGATTGATGCCGATTCTGTGAGACTTCAGGTCAATCCTGGAGGGTTGGCAAACCTACCTGCACCCCAGGCCAAGGGGTTTCCAGAGCCAACAAAGGCTGCAGAGTGGAGAGACCTGCTCCTCCTCCTCCTTCCCACCCCCTAATCGATCAGGGCTCCAAGTCAGGGTTGGCTTTCACAGCACTGGTGCTGGCCTGTGGCGTGAGGGGTTCCACAAAAGGCAGAGAGGAGGAATGGGGACTTGGTCAGAGATGGACAAGGGGGACGTGGATGTAGGCTTTAGAGAGTCCCTGGGGCAGAGGAATTGTGGAGGATGCAGAAAAGGATGGATGGGGGTGGGGCTTTGGAAGAGCACAGAGAAGAGGGATGACTGAGGGGGTTCCCAGGGGACAAAGGAGCAGAGAATGGGGTTGGCACAGCAGGAGGAGTGAGTCAGGAGCTTGGGGGAGGAAAGGGGGAGGGAAAACAAGTGCTGGAGGAGGGGTTTGGAGGAGTGAGAGGGGGACAGGAATTCTGAGGAAAGGGTTTGGGGAGAAGCATGAGATACTGAAATCTGGAAAGAGGGCGAAATGTCTGAGGAAAGGGAGGGTTTGGGAGAAGGACTCAGAAAATCTGGAGGCAGGAGAGAAAAGAAGGCAGAGAACTATGGAAAGTGAAGGGGTTTTGAAGGAGGGAAAAGAGGAGAAGAGATGGCACTGAGCAGAGACTGGGGTGAGTGAGGATGCTAGAGAAGGGAGGTAGGAGAGACTGATAAATTTGGTGGAGAGTAGAGGAGGAGATGAGGGGAGATAAGGGGTGACCTTGTCTAGCTGTGCTCATAGAATCAGATGTCTCCATCCCAATGATCATTTTGCGGTTTGATGAGTGTACTGTGTAAACTATATTGCATCAAGAATCCAGTCTAACTGCGCCAATTAAACTGATGAAGGTGGTGCATACACCCAGTATTTTTATGTTTTAGTTATAGGACGCTAGGTACTAAAGTTTGAAAATTGCTGATCTACTCTCTCTTCTGTAGCCTTCTTGGATTCTCTAGCAGTAGAGATAATTGTGTGAATCTTGCAGCAGCTACTAGTGAGCCTGCAGGCCAGACTTTCAATTTTTTAGACCCTAGAGGAGTTATGAGATACAAAGATCTACAGTTTCTTTCATTGGGGGGGGGGGGGTGTTTTTAGGAGATCATTCTCTGAGCAGAGGGCAAAACCCAGCCTTCTCTGGCAGTTTCCACCACCGTTTCAGGTCACCTCCCACTCTCCTATTCTAGAGTACTTCTACCTTGAAATATGCAGGAATGCAACCTGAGGAACAGAGATAGATCAGAGTAGGGTGGTATAAAGTAGTGTAATCTTTTGCAAATATCGTGGGGGTGTGTGTGTCATTCTAAAGTAGATTTAGAGATGACTAGGAAGCTGACAGAGGACAGGCAAGAAAAATCAAGACTTGATACATAGGTAACAAAAAACCCTGATTTTAATGTTTTGAAATGTAATTGTACTTTTAAATTTTAAGCCTACATGTATATTCTGTAAATGATTTGGAATGTGTTACAGCTCCCACTCATCCAGGGGTCAAACTGTTCACTTAATCATTTCAAGTTCCTCCATTGCCCTCTCTTGTACCCTGCAATCCATGATCACTCCTTCCCTCGTTAAATTCAACTTTGTTCTCTGTAAACAACCTGCCTCGTTCGCCTGTCATCCCTTAAAACTACTGAACCTCTGAGTTCTCTCAACAGAACAATCTCTCCTGACTCCTCATTTACCGAGTCTATACGGACCTATAGTTAGATAAATGACACCCTGGATTTCTGCACCTATTCTCTCTGTAACTTCCAGATCAAACCCGTTCAATTTATTAGTAAGAAAGTTTCACTCTAGGTGTCAGCACTGCAAACTGAACTCGGATCTCTGAACATTGTTGGGCTCCTTGTCTCTACCACCACCAGTAATAAAGATACAGTGGGAATTTAGCCGAAGGTTTTTGTTGATACATGAGAATAGAATAGAATCTCTCTCGCTCAGCCATGACTATGTTGGTTTTTCAGTGCTAAGAGCAGTAACAACTTGTTAGTAGAGCCAGCAATTACATAGTCATATTCTTCAAGTCCCTCTTACAACAAGACTTCAGTACATTTTAACCAATAGGACACAGTGTGTGTTAAGTTGGAGGTGGAAGAACAAGATATTTCTAAAGCCTATAGTTAGTTTTTTTAAACAAATACTTTCTGCCTGAGCCTCAGTTATCACTATCTGGCATCTTTGCTTGTAGAGATGCTAAAGGTCTGAATGAGCATGGAGACAGATCCTCTGGCCCTAAGAGGTCATAGATCAGTGGTGTGGAAGAAGCTTATGCTACCACTGCCAATGCTTGAACCTGATCTGTAAGGAAAAAAGAGATAACTTCATTCTCCATAGATGTACGTCCAGCACCAATAAATAAATAACAGCTATTTAACAATGCAAATAATGTGGTTATACTGGAAAGCCACACTTCTTCAAAGTGTTGGCCATCAGCTTTGTGCCTCGTAACCCATCTGTTTCTGTTATAACCACACACACAGAATTATATGTTGTTACTTACATAAATATATCTTTTGATTGAAT